ATCTCAGGAAGTCCAACATTTTACTGACCACATCAACTCTGTGGATAAATACATCAAGTTCACACGAGAAGATGTAAAAAATGGCAGGTTGGCTTTCTTGGACTGTGAGGTCTCAGTCTCTGATAGAGGACATTTGCAAACTGAGGTGTACCGCAAACCCACCCACACAGACCAGTATTTGCAGTTTGACTCCCATCACCCTTTGGAGCACAAGTTAGGAGTAATCAGGACTCTGTATCACAGAGCAGACAGCGTCCCCACTAGCTCAGGAGCCAGGCAAAAGGAGAAATCCCACACAAGACAGGCTCTAGAGCAATGTGGATATCCTAACTGGGCCTTCCTGAAAGCAGAGAAGAAACCCAAACAGGACTCCAGTCAGCCAACAGGTGAAAAGGAGGAACCCAGACCAGTGGTCATTCCATATGTTGAGGGAGTATCAGAGAAACTGAGACATTTATTTTCTAAACATAACGTCCCAGTGGCTTTTAAACCCCAAAATACATTACGTTCATCCCAAAGATCCAGTCCCCCGGCACAAACGGAGTAATATTGTGTATGCTGTTCAGTGTCAGGAGGGCTGTGATCAGTCTTACATCGGGGAAACAAAACAGCCACTGGCCAAAAGGATGGCCCAGCACAGAAGATCAACATCATCAGGCCAGGACTCTGCGGTCTACACTCATCTCCAGGCCAGCGGTCACTCTTTCAGGGATGAAGATGTTCACATCCTGGACAGAGAGGAACGATGGTTTGAGAGAGGAGTAAAGGAGGCCATCTTTGTGAAAAGAAATCGTCCATCGTTAAACGGGTGGAGGCCTTCGGGTTCAACTGTCCCCCTCTTACAATGCTGTGATTGCTAGTATCACTCAGCCCTCTGTGAACAGTAAACAGCCATCAATGTGCTAATGATCCATTGTTAGGCTGATGGTCCTTCTTGAGCATGTGATCAGCTGGTTTTGGTTGTCAGCAGCAAAACTGGTTGATCCACTCTGAGACGGTGCTATTTAAGAGACTGAGCTGAATACAGCTCCTCAGACTGAGGAAGTCTCTCGGATGAGAGACGAAACGTTTCTACATTTTTTTGTTGATTTGCTTTGTTTTGTTTTTTTGAATGTCCAGAGGACCAGATTTAACTTTTTTAGATTT